GCCACACAGAGAGGTTTTTCTGTAGGGGAAGTCACGGAATTGAGAAAAAACAGAAATGCAATATATACTTAAATTGAGATAAACACAAACAGATGCCTTTACTTTGATGGAAGTCTTTTTAGCTGTTCAAGAACAAACCTTGTATTTTAGTATGGGAACATTGCCCCTGCCTGCCAAAAACCAGTTTCGTGTGCAGTGATGGTGAAACGCAACCACCGGTGGGGAGAGTACAGGTAGAGAATCTATCAGTACAAATGCTCCTCTAGAAACACAGAATAGTGACTAAGAGTTTTTATTCTTGCTTTTGGCCATAAAAATAACGCTTACAAAGAATAACTAACGTCTGGGTCTGACACTGCCATCTCGTGAGCTTTCAAAAGTCTCCACAAGGTGGGCTCAGAGATCTTCCACTACACACTTCTGACATTTAAGACACACATTTCCCGGAGGAGCCTTCCTCACTCCAAAGCACACATAGGGTTATGCTCTGGGGGTCTTCTCTGAGCTCTGCCAGCACCGGAACAGCTGTACGGCTGCTCCTTTTGATTTCTCTTCTTCATCAAAGACAAAGCTAATATAGAATGAGTTGCTGTAAATCCCAGGCCCTATTAAATCTTTCTCCACCACCATGTTCTTCTGAACAACTGCATCTGTTGAGGACACAAAGTGGGAAAAGGACCGATGCTTTGAAAGGAAGTGCCTGAGTGCCCTTCTGCAGAGGATTTCAGGCTGCAAGAAGCTGGAAGGAGCCACAGGAGGCTCATGCAGCTACTATGCCGCCCCCCACTTTGCCTTCAGGCTCAGCCCTTGGATTGCACAGTGGGCCACCCAACACTATTCATGCCTGACCAGTGTGGGACGGAGATATGTGGCTAGACATGTGGAATGCGGTGAAACACAGGACCATAAATGTCTACCATCTTTATGGTCACCATCCTCTACGTGTGTGCTGGACAAAAGAAAACATGGGCAGGTGCTAAAGCTGATATCGCACAGGCACGCCGAGACTGCGACGCTGGGAAGACAGCAGCTAATCTGTGGGTGCCCAGCCTTTTGGCTTGCCCGGGCTGCCCCCACAGAAGAGGGGCTGCCTCGGTTTCCCACAAACCAAGGTGTCACTCGGGCTTGATGGCCATCTCAGCAGCTCTCAGGGAGCTCTCGAGGTGCTGCTCAGAGAGTTTAGACCAAGTTTTACTCCTGCTGTGCTTCACCCTTGAGAGCAGCTGCTCACGCATGCACGTCCTGCCAAGCAGCCATGGCGCGAGTGAGGCGTGACTGTGGAGCGGGGGATGTTGTTCTCCGGTACCAGAGACCTGATCAAGTTTTTGAGTAGAACACCTGACTGCAGCTCCATGCGCTCTGCTCACAGGTATTGCATTTCTGTCGACTGGGCACTGAGAACCAGAGACAGGCTGTAGGTACCACCTTCCAGGGTGGACACAGAAAGGGAGGGCGGGCACTGTGATGACCAGAGGGCTGAAGCAGCTCTCCCATGAAGAAAGGCTGAAGGAACAGAGCTTGTTTAGCTTGGAGAAGGATCCAGGGAGACTTTATTGTGGCTTTCCAGTACTCGAAGGGAGCGTACAAACAGGAGGGAGAATGGCTGTTTATGGGGTGGATAGTGACAGGACAAGGAGTGGTTTTCAACTGACACAGGGGAGGTTTAGGTTGGATCTGAGGAGGAAGTTTGTCACACAGAGGGAGGTGAGGCACTGGAACAGGTTGCCCAAGCAGGCTGTGGATGCCCCATCCCTGGAGGCATTCAAGGCCAGGCTGGACGTGGCTCTGGGCAGCCTGGTCTGCTGGTTGGCGACCCTGCACACAGCAGGGGGTTGAAAGCAGATGATCACTGTGGGCCTTTCCAACCCAGGCCATTCTACGATTCTTTAGCAAGAGATGGCTTGAGAAGGTGGATGCTAGTCCAGACATGGGGGCAGACCCCCCTTGTGGGACAGTGGGAACCAGCAGCTCCAAAAACAGGAATGGAGTGCCACTGGAGGGGCACTGCTGGACGAGGGCAGCACCCTGGTGGTACAGGACATGCTTTAGGTGGAAAGACTTCACCAGCACGGGCGGCCTTGAGAGAGCTGTGCCCAGTCTCGGGTGCCCAGCACATGGGGGTGTCGGAGGCACGGGAGAGCCCACAGAGGAGCACGGGGCTGAGCAAAGGGAGGCACGGCAGAAGAACACAGGGGACCCTGCTGACCCGGGCCTCCCTGTGGGCACGCCAGCTGCTATCCCTAGGGCAGCTGCGAGCACATGGGCCTCTGTGGGCCCACAGCCACAGCCAGGCCTTTGTGATGCCTGGGCGGCACCACGCCCAGAGGCCATTGTGATGTGGACGGGTAACCGCAGCTCCTGGCAGGGCCAGAGCCCTCGGGTGCTCACTCCGAGGAGAGCAGCTCTGTCAGGAGGCAGCAGCTCGACTTGGTGCTTTTCTCTGGTCTCCGGACATGGAGATGCTGAAGGAAGAGGAGCCTAAGGCTCACTCTCAGCCCAACCAAGGGCTGCCGAGCGGACAGGAGCAGGATGAGGTGAGGCTCAGGGAGTGAGGGAGAGACCAGCAGCATGACGGGATGGTGTGGAGAGCAGCAGGAGGAGGGACGCGGTGCTGGGGAGAGCCGGCCAGCTGGCCCTGAGCACCTTACAGCCTGAGCACTGCGCTTCCTGACACCTGGGAGCATCTCCACACAGAGCCAACGATGCCTGGGAAGGCCAAGGCCCACGTGGCCCTGGAAGCTTGGAGACGAGGGGCAGAGAGCAGCTTGGCCACGCTCAGCTCTGCCATCCATGGGGCAGGCAAAGCCCAGGCCCAGGCCCAGTGGGCCCAGTGGGCCCGGTGGCACAGCGGGTGCTGTCGGGCCAGTGTGGGCGCTCAATCCCTCTCCTTCTGTTCCCCGCAGGTGATCCGCAGGCCACCTCACACAATGACAGCGGGCAGCCAGAGCCCAGAATCCTCCCTCCGAGAGGACAGGCTGCCGCCGCTGCCGGCTCCACACGGCAGCCACCAGGCACAGGTAGGGAGACCCAGGGAGACCAGGTGCTGACAAGCAGGCAGCTGGCAAACAGCAGGACTTGCTAGAGGAGACGGCCGGGCCGTCTCCATGTCAGACTGAGCCAGGAGAGAGAGGAGCTGCTCTCTTCCCAGCCAGCTCTGGGATGGCAGCGGCCCATGCAGCTGCGCCACCAGGACAGGTTGCAGGAGCATTTGCAGCAGGGCCATGGAGGACAACACACGGAAGAGCCCAAAGTAACTCGGCCTTTCTCCTTGCCTTCTCTTGCAGGCAAACGATGCGGAAGGCAATGAGACGCTGTCCCGCGGAAGCGTCTTGCAGGGAGACACGGCCAGCGTGCCCACCTTGCCACCAGAGCAGGCAGTGGCTCAGGCAGCCGCAGCACAGCACGTGCCCGCAGCTGAGGCACCAACATCTGCCAGCGGCACCCGCGAGCTGCCTGATCTGCCAGCAGCAGCCTCTGTCTCTAGCTGCAGCGGAAGGGAAAAGGTCATCGTGCCTGAAGCCCCTGGCCATCAGGAGCTTTGCGCAACTGCTCTGGACAGCCTCGGCAAACAGGACGAAGCAGCAGGATCGGGCAAACAGAAAACTGCTCCACCGAGCCCAGCCATCCCTGACGCAGCAGTGGAGAACACTGTGCAATCCCCCGTGCCACAAGTCCCAACAGAAGCTGTGGCTGTACGCATCACGCAGCAGGACCTGACACAAGCTCAGCAAGCAGCGGGAGCAGCAAAAGCAGACGAGGCCCAGAAGGCCGCACACAGATCTGGGCCTGATCCCGAAGAGCTTACAGCAGCAATGGCTGCCCACAGAGAAGCTGCACGCGCTTTCTCACGCTGGGGCTACAAGTCAGGGCACCACGGAGGGCCAAGGGCCTATCGGTACCCAGCCGCCATGAAGCCGTGCATCCGGTGCCAAGAGATGGGCGCTAGGCTGTGGCTGCACCATGAGACTCGAAAGCCATGTCGAAAGATCCTGTCAGAGGACACAAAGCTTCTGACAAAGATGGCTAAAAGTTGTGCGGCCTGTACTGGGCACAGCCTAGACGAATACTGGGAAATAAAAAGGCAGGTGAGGAACACCAGGAAGCAGAGAGCAAGGCAGAAACTCCCGTGTGTTCCAGAGCACGAGCCACAGGGCACGGCAAAGGAGGATGAGCTGGAAGAAGCTGATGATGAAGAGCCAAAGATCATAAGCCACTGGGTCAACCCCAGGATCGCAGCCTTCATCCGGGACCCGCAGGCTTCTCCTCAGCAAACGCCCGGCTCTTCCAGCATCACGGACACAGAGGCTTCGGGAGAGTCAGATGGCCAGGCACAGAGCACGGCTCTTCCTGCCTCAAGGCACGCAGATGCCAAGGCTGGAGGTGATACGCACGATGGCCATGGGATGCCAGCATCCACACCAACAGCGGAAGAGGAGAACGCTCCAGCTTCATCTCTCCTGAGCGAACAGAGCCCAGCGGCGAGGGATGAGAGCCAGAGGCCGTGTCTGCATGAGCCAACAGCCTGTGCCATTCCTCTGCAGGACACAGCCCAGGCCATGGTGAGTCCAGGCGTCGGGAAGTGCTGGAGGAGACAGGTGGGCCGACCCCCTGTCAGACTGAGCCGCACCGAGCGTGGTCAGCTGTCGGGGCATGGCGGGGGCTGCTGCAGGGAGCCCCCAGGCCCAGCAGGTGCCACATGAGGAGCTGCTCTCTTCCCAGCCAGCTCTGTGGAGCAGGGTGGCAGCGGCCCATGCGGCTGCGCCACCAGGACAGGTTGCAGGAGCATTTGCAGCAGAGCCATGGAGGGCAACCCAGGGAAATGTCCCAACTCACTTCTTTCTTCTTGCCTTCTCTTGCAGGAGAACAAGCTGGAAGAGAATGAGACACTGCCCGGCAATGGGGTCCCGCAGGGAGACACGGCCAGCGTGCCCACCTTGCCACCAGAGCAGGCAGTGGCTCAGGCAGCCGCAGCACAGCACGTGCCCGCAGCTGAGGCACCAACATCTGCCAGCGGCACCCGCGAGCTGCCTGATCTGCCAGCAGCAGCCTCTGTCTCTAGCGGCAGAGGAACGGAAGAGGTCTTTGTGCCTGAAGCCCCTGGCCAACAAGAATCTCTCCCGTCTTCTGGCGCGAGTCGCGGTGAGCGCCGGCCACGGCGCAATCTGCTCAGGAGGGCGCTTGGGCGGCTGCTCAGGGTTTGCTGCTGCTGCTGCATCACAAGGCAGGAAGAGTAGCGGTGTCGGGCCACCAGTACCAGGCGACTTCTCAGAGCTGATCTCGCCCAGGCATGCCGAGACTGCGACGCTGGCTCCAAGATGAGACCAAGACCTTGGCCTGAGACAACAGCCCATCTTGCTAGAGGACACAATCCTCTCCACCCGTGGCAGGTCGATTTAACTGGGCCCCTCCCTCCGCCTGAGGGAGTGAGATATGCCCTCACCTGCCTCAGTCAGGTCCCTTCCAACCCAAGCCATTCTGTAATCCTACCTGATTCTACAACTGTGCTTTACAACTTCTCTGGTTTACAGACCTTCAATCAGATTGTAGCTCTTGCTTGATAATAAATCCACCAACATTTAACACCCCAGAAAGACGTTTGAATTCTCTCGCCAACTCCTTATCTCACGAATTCACAAGACCTGGGCATAAGAACTCATAGGAACATAAAAAAGCAGAAGGCTCTCTCCCAGCTCTGAATAAGGGATCCAAATTGCCTAACTACATTCTGCACAGACCAGAGGGCACTCACACCCCATGTCGTGGTTGCCCCCATCAGCTGTGCTAGCTCCACTCCTGCAGATTTCCAGCTTTCCTCCAGCCAAAATCCCAAGCAAGCCCCAAGTGCCACGCTTGCTCCCACAGCTGGCTCTGCCTGGACAAGGAACCTTGGGCTCCCAAGACGACAGCCGTTTTTACTCTTGCAGACACACAGACTTTGCAGTGAGTTAGAATTTGCAAGGCTAAGCATAGACCCGTGAAAACATGGGACAGCAAGCAATGCATACATCTGGCAATTACATTTTGGCTACTGCTGACTTCTGTTCTTCACCACTGAAGCACCTGAAAAGACAGAGCCGTGGGGGTGACCGTGATTGCTAGGCTGATTGCCTCTGTGGCCAGGATGTTTCTTTCTCATCCGGTACCTCTGGGCAGAGACTTTGAATGCTGTCATTATTCCATGCCTGCAAGACGTGGTTGAAGTTAAGGCATGGATCTGAAAGCCACCCCAGAACTTCTGGGTCGGTAATGCTGTTGGATTGCTTGTAAACATTCTGCTGTGAGGGTTTTTGTTTGTTTGTTTGTTTTTGAGTATTCCGGTGTGATCTAAAGCTCAGTACAGGCCGGTGGCTACCAAAGCTGGATCAGTGGGAGAGCTTGGGCCTGGCCCCCTTATTTGCTCAGACAGCCACTGCTATGCGAGCAGCTCCGTGGTGTGCTCTAACCCCTCACTCAATACAGCGACCAGAGCCTGAAGCCTAACCGATGGCAGGTTTATTCATCTGCTTTGTGAAGGGGTTTGACCAAGTTCTTGACCAAGTCTTGCCAGCACTTGAAGTTCAATCCCACCCACGCCCTGCTAGTCAAACTGCTCAAGAGCTTTTCTTCAACAGCATTTATTGCACCAAAAGCTGGCTGTCCTGGCACATTCTCTGGGGAGGATTCCCCTTAGATATCCCCCTTCAGCCAGCTGTTGCTGGCCACCTGCGCCACGCTGGGCCGGGAGGATGGTAAGAACTGCAGCAGCTGGACAAGGAGGGCCTGGCAGGGCTCCGGCAGCGCGGACACCCCCCTCAGGTGCTGGACCCCATCCTTCTGATGCTGGATGGTGTTGCAGAGGCAGCCGTGGAAGGGCAAGCTGCCAGTCACCACGGCAAGAAGGACCACCCCCAGGCTCCAGATGTCCAACTTCTTGGCATCGTGGGGGTAATGCAGCCACATCTCCGGGGCCATGTAGGCTTCTGTTCCGCAGAAGGTGCTGCTCAGTTCTGGGTAGCTGCTCATTTCCTTGCTGAGGCTAAAGCCAGCAATCTTGGCCTGGCGGCCATCAGCACTGAGCAGTGTGTTCTCACACTTGAGGTCACGATGCACGATGTTGCGGTCGTGGAGGCAGTGCACGGCCCCCACCACCTGCACAAAGATGTCCCGGGCGTCGGGGACGCAGGGCAGCTTGCCCAGCTGCTGCAGCCGCTGCTGCAGGTCGAAGGCTGCCGACTCCATCACGATGTAGACCATGCCGTCGGTCAGCTCAAAGATCTCAAAGATGAGCACGATGTTGGGATGATCCAGCTCACGCAGGATGGAGAGCTCCCGGGGCAGAAACTTCTCCACAAATTCTGGAGAGGCCCTTCGCTTGTCCACCATCTTGATAGCTAGGGGGACCGTGTACTTGGGGGAGGTGGCCGCCCTCACCGTGGAGAACGCACCCTCTCCTAAGGTCTCCCCCAGCGTGAAGCCCAGCTTGTGGAGGAGCTTCTTGTCTTTGTCAGTGTTTGGCATCTTAGCTGGTCCGCATAGGACGAAAGCGTGCCTGCAGTCGACCTTCACAAACCTGCAGTGGTTCCACAGGTGCCCTGTGGGGCTGAGGGTCCACCCAGGCACTGCGACAAAGTGTGACAGTGCCTCACTATGACTGCGATGTCAACGTGGTCCGACGGCTCTGCGCTGCTCCTGGGTGTCCCAGCTTGTCATGCATACGCACTGGGAGAACTGCCAGCACTGAATATATATACATATATATATATTTACCTGTTTCTGCTCTTGAGTTGTCAGAACAGGGACTGTCTGATGACAAGAGTTTAAATGTGACTGTTCTGGAGCAAATAATCACTTTGGAGACCCAGAGCTATTTTCTGCAGGATATTAAAATCAGGTATTAAAATCAGAACTACGCAAAATGGCACCAGAGAGTGATTTGTACCACCTCTAATTACAGGACACCTCGGCTGGGTGTCAAGATTTAGTTTTTGATTATGACAGTGCAGGAAATGGTTTCTCAAGGTGGGCTTTCCAGCTTGGGGCGGTGCGGAAGGGGAGCCTGCTCTTTCAGCAGAAACAGCTTTGTGAACTTCTTTGAGTTGCGCTCCCGTGATTTTAACCAAAAATGATAACGATGCAAACAGCGAGGCATTCCCTTGTTGTAAGCTGGGGGTCACCAGGAGTGGATTCAGAAGAAGGGAGCAGGAGGCAGAGAGCAGGAGGGGAGAGGAGACGCGGGCAGTGCCTGAGGGCTGTGCAGTCGGGCAACAGCAGTGACTTGCTTGAGAGTGGCCCCTCTGCTCCGCTTCTGCTCACAAAACACACCAGAACCTTGATGAGGCTGCGTTTGCTAGGACTTTCCTGTGCTTCTACCCAGCCGCTGAAGAAGACGTCCTCTGCCTGCTTTTGGCACAAATGCTCTGCTGCTAATGGCAGAGGCAATTTCCAGGTCTGCATGGGAGCCAAACTACACGCCGATGGTTGCCAGGAACTCCACTATTTATGGGTGTGTATTTCCTCCGTGGGAAGACAGCAGCTAATCTGTGGGTGCCCAGCCTTTTGGCTTGCCCGGGCTGCCCCCACAGAAGAGGGGCTGCCTCGGTTTCCCACAAACCAAGGTGTCACTCGGGCTTGATGGCCATCTCAGCAGCTCTCAGGGAGCTCTCGAGGTGCTGCTCAGAGAGTTTAGACCAAGTTTTACTCCTGCTGTGCTTCACCCTTGAGAGCAGCTGCTCACGCATGCACGTCCTGCCAAGCAGCCATGGCGCGAGTGAGGCGTGACTGTGGAGCGGGGGATGTTGTTCTCCGGTACCAGAGACCTGATCAAGTTTTTGAGTAGAACACCTGACTGCAGCTCCATGCGCTCTGCTCACAGGTATTGCATTTCTGTCGACTGGGCACTGAGAACCAGAGACAGGCTGTAGGTACCACCTTCCAGGGTGGACACAGAAAGGGAGGGCGGGCACTGTGATGACCAGAGGGCTGAAGCAGCTCTCCCATGAAGAAAGGCTGAAGGAACAGAGCTTGTTTAGCTTGGAGAAGGATCCAGGGAGACTTTATTGTGGCTTTCCAGTACTCGAAGGGAGCGTACAAACAGGAGGGAGAATGGCTGTTTATGGGGTGGATAGTGACAGGACAAGGAGTGGTTTTCAACTGACACAGGGGAGGTTTAGGTTGGATCTGAGGAGGAAGTTTGTCACACAGAGGGAGGTGAGGCACTGGAACAGGTTGCCCAAGCAGGCTGTGGATGCCCCATCCCTGGAGGCATTCAAGGCCAGGCTGGACGTGGCTCTGGGCAGCCTGGTCTGCTGGTTGGCGACCCTGCACACAGCAGGGGGTTGAAAGCAGATGATCACTGTGGGCCTTTCCAACCCAGGCCATTCTACGATTCTTTAGCAAGAGATGGCTTGAGAAGGTGGATGCTAGTCCAGACATGGGGGCAGACCCCCCTTGTGGGACAGTGGGAACCAGCAGCTCCAAAAACAGGAATGGAGTGCCACTGGAGGGGCACTGCTGGACGAGGGCAGCACCCTGGTGGTACAGGACATGCTTTAGGTGGAAAGACTTCACCAGCACGGGCGGCCTTGAGAGAGCTGTGCCCAGTCTCGGGTGCCCAGCACATGGGGGTGTCGGAGGCACGGGAGAGCCCACAGAGGAGCACGGGGCTGAGCAAAGGGAGGCACGGCAGAAGAACACAGGGGACCCTGCTGACCCGGGCCTCCCTGTGGGCACGCCAGCTGCTATCCCTAGGGCAGCTGCGAGCACATGGGCCTCTGTGGGCCCACAGCCACAGCCAGGCCTTTGTGATGCCTGGGCGGCACCACGCCCAGAGGCCATTGTGATGTGGACGGGTAACCGCAGCTCCTGGCAGGGCCAGAGCCCTCGGGTGCTCACTCCGAGGAGAGCAGCTCTGTCAGGAGGCAGCAGCTCGACTTGGTGCTTTTCTCTGGTCTCCGGACATGGAGATGCTGAAGGAAGAGGAGCCTAAGGCTCACTCTCAGCCCAACCAAGGGCTGCCGAGCGGACAGGAGCAGGATGAGGTGAGGCTCAGGGAGTGAGGGAGAGACCAGCAGCATGACGGGATGGTGTGGAGAGCAGCAGGAGGAGGGACGCGGTGCTGGGGAGAGCCGGCCAGCTGGCCCTGAGCACCTTACAGCCTGAGCACTGCGCTTCCTGACACCTGGGAGCATCTCCACACAGAGCCAACGATGCCTGGGAAGGCCAAGGCCCACGTGGCCCTGGAAGCTTGGAGACGAGGGGCAGAGAGCAGCTTGGCCACGCTCAGCTCTGCCATCCATGGGGCAGGCAAAGCCCAGGCCCAGGCCCAGTGGGCCCAGTGGGCCCGGTGGCACAGCGGGTGCTGTCGGGCCAGTGTGGGCGCTCAATCCCTCTCCTTCTGTTCCCCGCAGGTGATCCGCAGGCCACCTCACACAATGACAGCGGGCAGCCAGAGCCCAGAATCCTCCCTCCGAGAGGACAGGCTGCCGCCGCTGCCGGCTCCACACGGCAGCCACCAGGCACAGGTAGGGAGACCCAGGGAGACCAGGTGCTGACAAGCAGGCAGCTGGCAAACAGCAGGACTTGCTAGAGGAGACGGCCGGGCCGTCTCCATGTCAGACTGAGCCAGGAGAGAGAGGAGCTGCTCTCTTCCCAGACAGCTCTGGGATGGCAGCGGCCCATGCAGCTGCGCCACCAGGACAGGTTGCAGGAGCATTTGCAGCAGGGCCATGGAGGACAACACACGGAAGAGCCCAAAGTAACTCGGCCTTTCTCCTTGCCTTCTCTTGCAGGCAAACGATGCGGAAGGCAATGAGACGCTGTCCCGCGGAAGCGTCTTGCAGGGAGACACGGCCAGCGTGCCCACCTTGCCACCTCCGCCAGAGCAGGCAGTGGCTCAGGCAGCCGCAGCACAGCACGTGCCCGCAGCTGAGGCACCAACATCTGCCAGCGGCACCCGCGAGCTGCCTGATCTGCCAGCAGCAGCCTCTGTCTCTAGCTGCAGCGGAAGGGAAAAGGTCATCGTGCCTGAAGCCCCTGGCCATCAGGAGCTTTGCGCAACTGCTCTGGACAGCCTCGGCAAACAGGACGAAGCAGCAGGATCGGGCAAACAGAAAACTGCTCCACCGAGCCCAGCCATCCCTGACGCAGCAGTGGAGAACACTGTGCAATCCCCCGTGCCACAAGTCCCAACAGAAGCTGTGGCTGTACGCATCACGCAGCAGGACCTGACACAAGCTCAGCAAGCAGCGGGAGCAGCAAAAGCAGACGAGGCCCAGAAGGCCGCATACAGATCTGGGCCTGATCCCGAAGAGCTTACAGCAGCAATGGCTGCCCACAGAGAAGCTGCACGCGCTTTCTCACGCTGGGGCTACAAGTCAGGGCACCACGGAGGGCCAAGGGCCTATCGGTACCCAGCCGCCATGAAGCCGTGCATCCGGTGCCAAGAGATGGGCGCTAGGCTGTGGCTGCACCATGAGACTCGAAAGCCATGTCGAAAGATCCTGTCAGAGGACACAAAGCTTCTGACAAAGATGGCTAAAAGTTGTGCGGCCTGTACTGGGCACAGCCTAGACGAATACTGGGAAATAAAAAGGCAGGTGAGGAACACCAGGAAGCAGAGAGCAAGGCAGAAACTCCCGTGTGTTCCAGAGCACGAGCCACAGGGCACGGCAAAGGAGGATGAGCTGGAAGAAGCTGATGATGAAGAGCCAAAGATCATAAGCCACTGGGTCAACCCCAGGATCGCAGCCTTCATCCGGGACCCGCAGGCTTCTCCTCAGCAAACGCCCGGCTCTTCCAGCATCACGGACACAGAGGTTTTGGGAGAGTCAGATGGCCAGGCACAGAGCACGGCTCTTCCTGCCTCAAGGCACGCAGATGCCAAGGCTGGAGGTGATACGCACGATGGCCATGGGATGCCAGCATCCACACCAACAGCGGAAGAGGAGAACGCTCCAGCTTCATCTCTCCTGAGCGAACAGAGCCCAGCGGCGAGGGATGAGAGCCAGAGGCCGTGTCTGCATGAGCCAACAGCCTGTGCCATTCCTCTGCAGGACACAGCCCAGGCCATGGTGAGTCCAGGCGTCGGGAAGTGCTGGAGGAGACAGGTGGGCCGACCCCCTGTCAGACTGAGCCGCACCGAGCGTGGTCAGCTGTCGGGGCATGGCGGGGGCTGCTGCAGGGAGCCCCAGGCCCAGCAGGTGCCACATGAGGAGCTGCTCTCTTCCCAGCCAGCTCTGTGGAGCAGGCTGCGCCACCAGGACAGGTTGCAGGAGCATTTGCAGCAGAGCCATGGAGGACAACCCAGGGAAATGTCCCAACTCACTTCTTTCTTCTTGCCTTCTCTTGCAGGAGAACAAGCTGGAAGAGAATGAGACACTGCCCGGCAATGGGGTCCCGCAGGGAGACACGGCCAGCGTGCCCACCTTGCCACCAGAGCAGGCAGTGGCTCAGGCAGCCGCAGCACAGCACGTGCCCGCAGCTGAGGCACCAACATCTGCCAGCGGCACCCGCGAGCTGCCTGATCTGCCAGCAGCAGCCTCTGTCTCTAGCGGCAGAGGAACGGAAGAGGTCTTTGTGCCTGAAGCCCCTGGCCAACAAGAATCTCTCCCGTCTTCTGGCGCGAGTCGCGGTGAGCGCCGGCCACGGCGCAATCTGCTCAGGAGGGCGCTTGGGCGGCTGCTCAGGGTTTGCTGCTGCTGCTGCATCACAAGGCAGGAAGAGTAGCGGTGTCGGGCCACCAGTACCAGGCGACTTCTCAGAGCTGATCTCGCCCAGGCATGCCGAGACTGCGACGCTGGCTCCAAGATGAGACCAAGACCTTGGCCTGAGACAACAGCCCATCTTGCTAGAGGACACAATCCTCTCCACCCGTGCCAGGTCGATTTAACTGGGCCCCTCCCTCCGCCTGAGGGAGTGAGATATGCCCTCACCTGCCTCAGTCAGGTCCCTTCCAACCCAAGCCATTCTGTAATCCTACCTGATTCTACAACTGTGCTTTACAACTTCTCTGGTTTACAGACCTTCAATCAGATTGTAGCTCTTGCTTGATAATAAATCCACCAACATTTAACACCCCAGAAAGACGTTTGAATTCTCTCGCCAACTCCTTATCTCACGAATTCACAAGACCTGGGCATAAGAACTCATAGGAACATAAAAAAGCAGAAGGCTCTCTCCCAGCTCTGAATAAGGGATCCAAATTGCCTAACTACATTCTGCACAGACCAGAGGGCACTCACACCCCATGTCGTGGTTGCCCCCATCAGCTGTGCTAGCTCCACTCCTGCAGATTTCCAGCTTTCCTCCAGCCAAAATCCCAAGCAAGCCCCAAGTGCCACGCTTGCTCCCACAGCTGGCTCTGCCTGGACAAGGAACCTTGGGCTCCCAAGACGACAGCCGTTTTTACTCTTGCAGACACACAGACTTTGCAGTGAGTTAGAATTTGCAAAGCTAAGCATAGACCCGTGAAAACATGGGACAGCAAGCAATGCATACATCTGGCAATTACATTTTGGCTACTGCTGACTTCTGTTCTTCACCACTGAAGCACTTGAAAAGACAGAGCCGTGGGGGTGACCGTGATTGCTAGGCTGATTGCCTCTGTGGCCAGGATGTTTCTTTCTCATCCGGTACCTCTGGGCAGAGACTTTGAATGCTGTCATTATTCCATGCCTGCAAGACGTGGTTGAAGTTAAGGCATGGATCTGAAAGCCACCCCAGAACTTCTGGGTCGGTAATGCTGTTGGATTGCTTGTAAACATTCTGCTGTGAGGGTTTTTGTTTGTTTGTTTGTTTTTGAGTATTCCGGTGTGATCTAAAGCTCAGTACAGGCCGGTGGCTACCAAAGCTGGATCAGTGGGAGAGCTTGGGCCTGGCCCCCTTATTTGCTCAGACAGCCACTGCTATGCGAGCAGCTCCGTGGTGTGCTCTAACCCCTCACTCAATACAGCGACCAGAGCCTGAAGCCTAACCGATGGCAGGTTTATTCATCTGCTTTGTGAAGGGGTTTGACCAAGTTCTTGACCAAGTCTTGCCAGCACTTGAAGTTCAATCCCACCCACGCCCTGCTAGTCAAACTGCTCAAGAGCTTTTCTTCAACAGCATTTATTGCACCAAAAGCTGGCTGTCCTGGCACATTCTCTGGGGAGGATTCCCCTTAGATATCCCCCTTCAGCCAGCTGTTGCTGGCCACCTGCGCCACGCTGGGCCGGGAGGATGGTAAGAACTGCAGCAGCTGGACAAGGAGGGCCTGGCAGGGCTCCGGCAGCGCGGACACCCCCCTCAGGTGCTGGACCCCATCCTTCTGATGCTGGATGGTGTTGCAGAGGCAGCCGTGGAAGGGCAAGCTGCCAGTCACCACGGCAAGAAGGACCACCCCCAGGCTCCAGATGTCCAACTTCTTGGCATCGTGGGGGTAATGCAGCCACATCTCCGGGGCCATGTAGGCTTCTGTTCCGCAGAAGGTGCTGCTCAGTTCTGGGTAGCTGCTCATTTCCTTGCTGAGGCTAAAGCCAGCAATCTTGGCCTGGCGGCCATCAGCACTGAGCAGTGTGTTCTCACACTTGAGGTCACGATGCACGATGTTGCGGTCGTGGAGGCAGTGCACGGCCCCCACCACCTGCACAAAGATGTCCCGGGCGTCGGGGACGCAGGGCAGCTTGCCCAGCTGCTGCAGCCGCTGCTGCAGGTCGAAGGCTGCCGACTCCATCACGATGTAGACCATGCCGTCGGTCAGCTCAAAGATCTCAAAGATGAGCACGATGTTGGGATGATCCAGCTCACGCAGGATGGAGAGCTCCCGGGGCAGAAACTTCTCCACAAATTCTGGAGAGGCCCTTCGCTTGTCCACCATCTTGATAGCTAGGGGGACCGTGTACTTGGGGGAGGTGGCCGCCCTCACCGTGGAGAACGCACCCTCTCCTAAGGTCTCCCCCAGCGTGAAGCCCAGCTTCTGGAGGAGCTTCTTGTCTTTGTCAGTGTTTGGCATCTTAGCTGGTCCGCATAGGACGAAAGCGTGCCTGCAGTCGACCTTCACAAACCTGCAGTGGTTCCACAGGTGCCCTGTGGGGCTGAGGGTCCACCCAGGCACTGCGACAAAGTGTGACAGTGCCTCACTATGACTGCGATGTCAACGTGGTCCGACGGCTCTGCGCTGCTCCTGGGTGTCCCAGCTTGTCATGCATACGCACTGGGAGAACTGCCAGCACTGAATATATATACATATATATATATTTACCTGTTTCTGCTCTTGAGTTGTCAGAACAGGGACTGTCTGATGACAAGAGTTTAAATGTGACTGTTCTGGAGCAAATAATCACTTTGGAGACCCAGAGCTATTTTCTGCAGGATATTAAAATCAGGTATTAAAATCAGAACTACGCAAAATGGCACCAGAGAGTGATTTGTACCACCTCTAATTACAGGACACCTCGGCTGGGTGTCAAGATTTAGTTTTTGATTATGACAGTGCAGGAAATGGTTTCTCAAGGTGGGCTTTCCAGCTTGGGGCGGTGCGGAAGGGGAGCCTGCTCTTTCAGCAGAAACAGCTTTGTGAACTTCTTTGAGTTGCGCTCCCGTGATTTTCACCAAAAATGATAACGATGCAAACAGCGAGGCATTCCCTTGTTGTAAGCTGGGGGTCACCAGGAGTGGATTCAGAAGAAGGGAGCAGGAGGCAGAGAGCAGGAGGGGAGAGGAGACGCGGGCAGTGCCTGAGGGCTGTGCAGTCGGGCAACAGCAGTGACTTGCTTGAGAGTGGCCCCTCTGCTCCGCTTCTGCTCACAAAACACACCAGAACCTTGATGAGGCTGCGTTTGCTAGGACTTTCCTGTGCTTCTACCCAGCCGCTGAAGAAGACGTCCTCTGCCTGCTTTTGGCACAAATGCTCTGCTGCTAATGGCAGAGGCAATTTCCAGGTCTGCATGGGAGCCAAACTACACGCCGATGGTTGCCAGGAACTCCACTATTTATGGGTGTGTATTTCCTCCGTGGGAAGACAGCAGCTAATCTGTGGGTGCCCAGCCTTTTGGCTTGCCCGGGCTGCCCCCACAGAAGAGGGGCTGCCTCGGTTTCCCACAAACCAAGGTGTCACTCGGGCTTGATGGCCATCTCAGCAGCTCTCAGGGAGCTCTCGAGGTGCTGCTCAGAGAGTTTAGACCAAGTTTTACTCCTGCTGTGCTTCACCCTTGAGAGCAGCTGCTCACGCATGCACGTCCTGCCAAGCAGCCATGGCGCGAGTGAGGCGTGACTGTGGAGCGGGGGATGTTGTTCTCCGGTACCAGAGACCTGATCAAGTTTTTGAGTAGAACACCTGACTGCAGCTCCATGCGCTCTGCTCACAGGTATTGCATTTCTGTCGACCGGGCACTGAGAACCAGAGACAGGCTGTAGGTACCACCTTCCAGGGTGGACACAGAAAGGGAGGGCGGGCACTGTGATGACCAGAGGGCTGAAGCAGCTCTCCCATGAAGAAAGGCTGAAGGAACAGAGCTTGTTTAGCTTGGAGAAGGATCCAGGGAGACTTTATTGTGGCTTTCCAGTACTCGAAGGGAGCGTACAAACAGGAGGGAGAATGGCTGTTTATGGGGTGGATAGTGACAGGACAAGGAGTGGTTTTCAACTGACACAGGGGAGGTTTAGGTTGGATCTGAGGAGGAAGTTTGTCACACAGAGGGAGGTGAGGCACTGGAACAGGTTGCCCAAGCAGGCTGTGGATGCCCCATCCCTGGAGGCATTCAAGGCCAGGCTGGACGTGGCTCTGGGCAGCCTGGTCTGCTGGTTGGCGACCCTGCACACAGCAGGGGGTTGAAAGCAGATGATCACTGTGGGCCTTTCCAACCCAGGCCATTCTACGATTCTTTAGCAAGAGATGGCTTGAGAAGGTGGATGCTAGTCCAGACATGGGGGCAGACCCCCCTTGTGGGACAGTGGGAACCAGCAGCTCCAAAAACAGGAATGGAGTGCCACTGGAGGGGCACTGCTGGACGAGGGCAGCACCCTGGTGGTACAGGACATGCTTTAGGTGGAAAGACTTCACCAGCACGGGCGGCCTTGAGAGAGCTGTGCCCAGTCTCGGGTGCCCAGCACATGGGGGTGTCGGAGGCACGGGAGAGCCCACAGAGGAGCACGGGGCTGAGCAAAGGGAGGCACGGCAGAAGAACACAGGGGACCCTGCTGACCCGGGCCTCCCTGTGGGCACGCCAGCTGCTATCCCTAGGGCAGCTGCGAGCACATGGGCCTCTGTGGGCCCACAGCCACAGCCAGGCCTTTGTGATGCCTGGGCGGCACCACGCCCAGAGGCCATTGTGATGTGGACGGGTAACCGCAGCTCCTGGCAGGGCCAGAGCCCTCGGGTGCTCACTCCGAGGAGAGCAGCTCTGTCAGGAGGCAGCAGCTCGACTTGGTGCTTTTCTCTGGTCTCCGGACATGGAGATGCTGAAGGAAGAGGAGCCTAAGGCTCACTCTCAGCCCAACCAAGGGCTGCCGAGCGGACAGGAGCAGGATGAGGTGAGGCTCAGGGAGTGAGGGAGAGACCAGCAGCATGACGGGATGGTGTGGAGAGCAGCAGGAGGAGGGACGCGGTGCTGGGGAGAGCCGGCCAGCTGGCCCTGAGCACCTTACAGCCTGAGCACTGCGCTTCCTGACACCTGGGAGCATCTCCACACAGAGCCAACGATGCCTGGGAAGGCCAAGGCCCACGTGGCCCTGGAAGCTTGGAGACGAGGGGCAGAGAGCAGCTTGGCCACGCTCAGCTCTGCCATCCATGGGGCAGGCAAAGCCCAGGCCCAGGCCCAGTGGGCCCAGTGGGCCCGGTGGCACAGCGGGTGCTGTCGGGCCAGTGTGGGCGCTCAATCCCTCTCCTTCTGTTCCCCGCAGGTGATCCGCAGGCCACCTCACACAATGACAGCGGGCAGCCAGAGCCCAGAATCCTCCCTCCGAGAGGACAGGCTGCCGCCGCTGCCGGCTCCACACGGCAGCCACCAGGCACAGGTAGGGAGACCCAGGGAGACCAGGTGCTGACAAGCAGGCAGCTGGCAAACAGCAGGACTTGCTAGAGGAGACGGCCGGGCCGTCTCCATGTCAGACTGAGCCAGGAGAGAGAGGAGCTGCTCTCTTCCCAGACAGCTCTGGGATGGCAGCGGCCCATGCAGCTGCGCCACCAGGACAGGTTGCAGGAGCATTTGCAGCAGGGCCATGGAGGACAACACACGGAAGAGCCCAAAGTAACTCGGCCTTTCTCCTTGCCTTCTCTTGCAGGCAAACGATGCGGAAGGCAATGAGACGCTGTCCCGCGGAAGCGTCTTGCAGGGAGACACGGCCAGCGTGCCCACCTTGCCACCTCCGCCAGAGCAGGCAGTGGCTCAGGCAGCCGCAGCACAGCACGTGCCCGCAGCTGAGGCACCAACATCTGCCAGCGGCACCCGCGAGCTGCCTGATCTGCCAGCAGCAGCCTCTGTCTCTAGCTGCAGCGGAAGGGAAAAGGTCATCGTGCCTGAAGCCCCTGGCCATCAGGAGCTTTGCGCAACTGCTCTGGACAGCCTCGGCAAACAGGACGAAGCAGCAGGATCGGGCAAACAGAAAACTGCTCCACCGAGCCCAGCCATCCCTGACGCAGCAGTGGAGAACACTGTGCAATCCCCCGTACCACAAGTCCCAACAGAAGCTGTGGCTGTACGCATCACGCAGCAGGACCTGACACAAGCTCAGCAAGCAGCGGGAGCAGCAAAAGCAGACGAGGCCCAGAAGGCCGCACACAGATCTGGGCCTGATCCCGAAGAGCTTACAGCAGCAATGGCTGCCCACAGAGAAGCTGCACGCGCTTTCTCACGCTGGGGCTACAAGTCAGGGCACCACGGAGGGCCAAGGGCCTATCGGTACCCAGCCGCCATGAAGCCGTGCATCCGGTGCCAAGAGATGGGCGCTAGGCTGTGGCTGCACCATGAGACTCGAAAGCCATGTCGAAAGATCCTGTCAGAGGACACAAAGCTTCTGACAAAGATGGCTAAAAGTTGTGCGGCCTGTACTGGGCACAGCCTAGACGAATACTGGGAAATAAAAAGGCAGGTGAGGAACACCAGGAAGCAGAGAGCAAGGCAGAAACTCCCGTGTGTTCCAGAGCACGAGCCACAGGGCACGGCAAAGGAGGATGAGCTGGAAGAAGCTGATGATGAAGAGCCAAAGATCATAAGCCACTGGGTCAACCCCAGGATCGCAGCCTTCATCCGGGACCCGCAGGCTTCTCCTCAGCAAACGCCCGGCTCTTCCAGCATCACGGACACAGAGGTTTTGGGAGAGTCAGATGGCCAGGCACAGAGCACGGCTCTTCCTGCCTCAAGGCACGCAGATGCCAAGGCTGGAGGTGATACGCACGATGGCCATGGGATGCCAGCATCCACACCAACAGCGGAAGAGGAGAACGCTCCAGCTTCATCTCTCCTGAGCGAACAGAGCCCAGCGGCGAGGGATGAGAGCCAGAGGCCGTGTCTGCATGAGCCAACAGCCTGTGCCATTCCTCTGCAGGACACAGCCCAGGCCATGGTGAGTCCAGGCGTCGGGAAGTGCTGGAGGAGACAGGTGGGCCGACCCCCTGTCAGACTGAGCCGCACCGAGCGTGGTCAGCTGTCGGGGCATGGCGGGGGCTGCTGCAGGGAGCCCCAGGCCCAGCAGGTGCCACATGAGGAGCTGCTCTCTTCCCAGCCAGCTCTGTGGAGCAGGCTGCGCCACCAGGACAGGTTGCAGGAGCATTTGCAGCAGAGCCATGGAGGACAACCCAGGGAAATGTCCCAACTCACTTCTTTCTTCTTGCCTTCTCTTGCAGGAGAACAAGCTGGAAGAGAATGAGACACTGCCCGGCAATGGGGTCCCGCAGGGAGACACGGCCAGCGTGCCCACCTTGCCACCAGAGCAGGCAGTGGCTCAGGCAGCCGCAGCACAGCACGTGCCCGCAGCTGAGGCACCAACATCTGCCAGCGGCACCCGCGAGCTGCCTGATCTGCCAGCAGCAGCCTCTGTCTCTAGCGGCAGAGGAACGGAAGAGGTCTTTGTGCCTGAAGCCCCTGGCCAACAAGAATCTCTCCCGTCTTCTGGCGCGAGTCGCGGTGAGCGCCGGCCACGGCGCAATCTGCTCAGGAGGGCGCTTGGGCGGCTGCTCAGGGTTTGCTGCTGCTGCTGCATCACAAGGCAGGAAGAGTAGCGGTGTCGGGCCACCAGTACCAGGCGACTTCTCAGAGCTGATCTCGCCCAGGCATGCCGAGACTGCGACGCTGGCTCCAAGATGAGACCAAGACCTTGGCCTGAGACAACAGCCCATCTTGCTAGAGGACACAATCCTCTCCACCCGTGCCAGGTCGATTTAACTGGGCCCCTCCCTCCGCCTGAGGGAGTGAGATATGCCCTCACCTGCCTCAGTCAGGTCCCTTCCAACCCAAGCCATTCTGTAATCCTACCTGATTCTACAACTGTGCTTTACAACTTCTCTGGTTTACAGACCTTCAATCAGATTGTAGCTCTTGCTTGATAATAAATCCACCAACATTTAACACCCCAGAAAGACGTTTGAATTCTCTCGCCAACTCCTTATCTCACGAATTCACAAGACCTGGGCATAAGAACTCATAGGAACATAAAAAAGCAGAAGGCTCTCTCCCAGCTCTGAATAAGGGATCCAAATTGCCTAACTACATTCTGCACAGACCAGAGGGCACTCACACCCCATGTCGTGGTTGCCCCCATCAGCTGTGCTAGCTCCACTCCTGCAGATTTCCAGCTTTCCTCCAGCCAAAATCCCAAGCAAGCCCCAAGTGCCACGGCTGCTCCCACAGCTGGCTCTGCCTGGACAAGGAACCTTGGGCTCCCAAGACGACAGCCGTTTTTACTCTTGCAGACACACAGACTTTGCAGTGAGTTAGAATTTGCAAGGCTAAGCATAGACCCGTGAAAACATGGGACAGCAAGCAATGCATACATCTGGCAATTACATTTTGGCTACTGCTGACTTCTGTTCTTCACCACTGAAGCACTTGAAAAGACAGAGCCGTGGGGGTGACTGTGATTGTTAAATATTTCTCTTTGAGTACCAAGAGCTGTATACGGTAGTTCGTCTTCCTCTCCCTCCATCTCACCTTGCTATCAGACACAGCAGCAACCAACAGGCTCCTCAAAAGACAGCCGTGATGTTACTTCTTTCTCTGGGCAGACACATGTTCATTTCCCATGCTACCGCTCCAGGATCAGCTCTATTATCCTCTGTGACAGGAGGCCCTGTTGGCAGAGCACCAGTCTACAGTGGTTGGCATTGATACTCCCTGCCTCCTCTCTTACACGATGCTACTATGGGTGCAGGAGAGGACCTCTCCTGGGACCAAGCAATTTGCAGGTGGCAACACTGAGAGGATAGTGGGACATTTCCGCAAACAGTTTGTTTCCCATATTTCCTAGCATCATATAAGTATTTCTGTGGTTTCAGAAAGAAATATACAAGCAGCTAAAAAGGATGCAAGGCATAAGAAGCAGATTAACAGTCGTTTAGTAATGGACAATGATAATCCTAGATAGTCTACAGTTGAAAATGAAGTCTGATGTTCACAAGCAAACAATCATCCAGAATGTATCGACTGTTCTCATCTGGCTCCAGGAGTTTAAAATCAAAGTCTTTTGAGATCTGGCAAAGTGCAAAAACAGCACTCTCAGCTTGCAGGCTAACTGCTATGACTAGATGCTACAAGACAAGGAGTAAAACATCCTTATAGTGCCACATGCCAAACATCCCTGTGATTATATTACGAAGGAGGTTGTTTACAACTTGAGAAGCACTGTAAAGAAGCTGTCAGTTTGGAAGCTTATGGGCACTTGGGTAACATCTCCCCATGGAGCCTCTGACTTGACATTTCCGTATTTTTGATCCGCAAAGATCTCTATTTTTAGTCAGCAAGAAAAACCCAAATGTAGCCTGTGAAAATACAAAACTGCAAACCCTTATCTATGCAAAGGGAGCATCAGACCAAGCACCCACGAAAACTACCAAAAGTTTAGAGAGGTCATAAGCTGGGTCCACGTCTGTACACAGGAACTTTTCACATTCAGTAAAACCTGCAAGCAAGTTAAAATTAGATCAAATTTATTTGTGTGCCTAATTATACACTGAGAAGCATAGCTCATTCTGGCAGACAGGCTTAGGTAACAGGTTTCTTTCATCATAAGCCTACAGTTTCAAAATCTAGTCAGAAACTTTGCCCACCAGGCGCACCTCGTGCCCAACACCTGTCAGTACCCAGAGAAACCAGCACAGCTCAGCTCGGCACAAATCCCCACCAATTCTCTGCCAGCCGCCCAGCAAATCACAGGGTGCCCTCTGCAGCACACACTCCTCCACACTGGCACAGGTTGCCCAAGCAGGCTGTGGATGCCCCGTCCCTGGAGGCATTCAAGGCCAGGCTGGACGTGGCTCTGGGCAGCCTGGTCTGCTGGTTGGCGACCCTGCACACAGCAAGGATTGGAACCAGACGATAATTGTGGTCCTTTCCAACCCAGGCCATTCTGTGATTCAATGATACCTGCCAGCCTCATCACGGCTTCACGTGTAGAAGAGCGGCAGATTTTAGAAATGCACCGGGACAAAACATCAGGGCAGATTTTAATGAGGCCCTCCAAACCGAACGACGCACGCGGCACCACGGCTGCCACGTCAAGGACAGACGCGAGGCCGGCAGCTCGGCGCGGTGAGCGCAGGGGAACGAAGCGGCAGCTCGTGAGGGAGCGGTGCCACCCGCTGTTCTCATCCGCTCCGCTCCATCCCCCCGCTTTCCCCGCGAGATGGCGACGCCGCCCAGCGACCGCCGCGAGGGGAGCCGGGCGCGGAAGGCCCGCGCCGCACTTCCGCCGGAAACCGAAGGGGAACCGGAAGTGGCGGGGCGCGGCGCGTGCCGGTGTCCTGGCACTGGCGGCAGCTGTGGCGCCGGTGAGTGGCGGCAGAGTCGGGCCCAGCCCGGCTACCGGCGGCGCGGGGGTGAACGGGAGCGGGCACGGCCGCGGCGGCTGAGGGCAACAGGGCTCGGGCCGGGCCGGCAGCCCGGTGGGACCGCCGGTGAGAGCGCGAGGTGCGGCGGGCGCGTTGTCTGCTGCCACGTTTAGCACGGAAACGGCTTATCCCTTATCGGCACCT